TATATGGGTATGGCCGCCATGGGATAAAAATTTAACAGCCATTAACAATGATCATATACAAGCAACGGTAGAAATGGGATTAGTTAAAGGTTTACCACAAGGTCATGCATATCCAGTCTGTTTTTGTTTGATAGCTTCAGAACCGTCAACAGCTTCGACATTGTCCTTAATGAATAAATGTATACATATAACAGAAAACGTTCGTGAGCTGGATTGGTCAGAGTCGGAAATCCCTAAATCAAAATGCGATATAAAGAGGACTTTAAGCGTAGAAGTTGTGAATGAAAATAAAGCATTAGAACTGTCTAAGAGTGATAACTGGTTGACAGAAAATGATAACATTATTTTAGATATTGATGAAGATTATTATGGTTGCGAGCCTGCCATACAACCACTATACGATGTAGGAATTACTGACAAAAAAAGTGACTCGATGACTTATTTAGTCGGTAAGATATTCTGTCCCGTTGACATTAACCAAGAACGACAATTTGATACTATATTTTATGATTTGATTCAGCAGATTAAAACAATTAAGTCGTACTCACAACGTCGGAATCTGGAAATTTCTAAAGAGAATGAAAGCAAAGCATTATTTACTGCTCTGAAGGATAAAGTGAAGAGTAATAACCTAGAGCAATATTTATGTAAGGATAAATCGTTAGGTAGAGCAATCATTGTATTAATTAAATATCTATTCTCTGCTACACAATTTCAACTTTCTGCTATCTCTAAAGTTGGTTTATGTTTGAGTGTTTCTTCCAAAACTTTCCAGTTCAACCCAGCAGATGGAATGAGATTATGTGATGGATTCAATAGACCGAATAGAACCATGGTTTTCTTCCATACACCCGATTTACCAGAAATTAACTTAAGAACTGCTAATCTGGAGGGTATTTTAAGAAGTACACCAACACCAGCTATCGTGACAATCTGTCGTTCTGTCAGAGATGGTTATTCACCATTAAAATACTTTGAGAAAATAGAATCTGATATTTTAAAAACATTAAAAAATACTTATAATATCAAGCATGATTCTATACATTATGATGATGGATTGCTAGGGGGTAAAGCAGGGTTGCCCTCGAGACATTTATGATTTATTATGATAATAAAAAAGATTTTAAAATTTAATAAGTAAAATATTTAAACCAATATATTTCTTATCCATTTCAAGCATCAAAGAATCCTGGGAGGACAAATTTGCATAATGAGTGTAAAAAACTGTAAATACACAGTTCAAACTTTTGTATAATATATTATGTATAGTCCAGAGTATAGTTACGTAGCTTTTTTTTATACGCCACCATGAAATGGCGTATATAGTTGTCACCCATGTCCGTCGGTCCATCGGTCCGTGTCTAGAGGGCATAATTCTTGACTGATTTTGACGATACTTTGTACGATTGTTTTAATCACCCAATGATGAACCTTATTGAAAATCAGAAAAATCGAAAAATATGTAGAATGAATTATTGCCCTTGTTCTTGAAATTCTCGTAAACACTGTATAAGGTGTCATTCTTGACGAGTTTTGATGAAACTTAGTGTAAGGGTTTGCAATTACCCAAGGATGAATCATATCGAAAATCAAAAAAATCGAAAAATATTTAGTATGGGTTATTTGCCTTGTTCTTGAAAACGCGTTCAACTTTAACTTGTAAACAGTCGAGAAGGTTCATTTACAGATTTGGACGAAATTGTTTGCTATCACCCAAGGATGAACCCTATCGAAAATCAGAAATATCGAAAAATATTTAGTACGGGTTATTCCCTTGTTCTCGAACGCGTTCAATTTTTAACTCGTAAACACTCCAGAAGGCACAATTCTTGACGGATAGAGATGAAACTTGGTGTGAGTGTTTGTAATCACCAAAAAGATGAACACTATTGCATATCGAAAAAATAATTAGTATGAGTTAGTGCCCTTGTTCTTGAAAATGCGTTCAATTTTGAAGGCACAATTCTTGACGAATTTTGATAAAACTTTTTGTGAGTGGTTGTTAACAACCTAGTCAAATCAGAAGAATCGAAAAATATTTATTATGAGTTATTGCTTTTTTTTCTTGAAAACAGTTTTAGCCTGTAATTGTCCAGTGGCAGAGCACCAAAGTATGTTTTTTATGCATCAGATAGCCATTCTGAACATATTTCCACTGGGAACCAATTTTTTTATGGACCAAATTTAAAATGGCCGCCATCCCTGATACTTTGCTTCTAGTGCACCAATAAACATAATTTTGGTGTCAAAATATATGTTTTCAGGGTCAAGGAATTCATTTATTATGGTTTTTATTTATTTTGGAGAGGTAAATATCGCGAAAAATTATATCAAAAAAATATATATACAATACTCAGTAAGAATCGTCAGAAGTCGTGTATATCTTTACTCATTGTTACTTTTATCTAAATAATTGTTTCAAGCAATTGACATTTTGAAACGGACCGCAACTGGCATGAGTGCTCACAAGACACCAGCCGATCACAAG